TCAAGTTAAGCATAATAAAACTATTTGATTATCTTTATGGAATATAATTGTTAATTAGGATTTTCCACATACATATCCCATGATATTAAGTATGTAGCTTAAAAAGTATATATCGTCCAGAATTTTTCAAGTTAAGCATAATAAAACTATTTGATTATCTTTATGGAATATAATTGTTAATTAGGATTTTCCACATACATATCCCATGATATTAAGTATGTAGCTTAAAAAGTATATATCGTCCAGAATTTTGTGAAACCTTCAACACTTTTTCTCTCCTCTTTTGTAGTACTCAAGTTAAGCATAATAAAACTATTTGATTATCTTTATGGAATATAATTGTTAATTAGGATTTTCCACATACATATCCCATGATATTAAGTATGTAGCTTAAAAAGTATATATCGTCCAGAATTTTGTGAAACCTTCAACACTTTTTCTCTCCTCTTTTGTAGTACCTCTCTAATATTTCAATTATATATCTGAGCTCTGTGATAAATATTTAAGATTGATGTAGATCTTTTGATCATACAATAACAACTAAAATAAAAAAGGAAGAGAATAGTAATTAGAAACAGTAGTAACCCTAGCAGTTAATATGTACTGAAGCAGTGTTCTGAGCCTTCCCAATGAGCACCATCATCATCGCATTAAAGAGAGGGTAATAACTTCTGCGAGTGAAAAGCTACCAAACCAAACAGGATAAAACTAGGGTTTCTGCATGGAAGGGATAAAATCTACAAGAAAATGGAAAAAAGAAAGAAAACCCTGATAATTAAATGTAAGAGAGACCCATATTTATTTCAGCTTTTCCAGGGAGCCCCATCACTTACCACAAGAGCTTCGTGTGGGTGTGAAGACATGTGATCTTTTTGGCCGCACTCAAAAGCTAGGTAAAAGAAATTAACACGCACCATTGCTATTGCTATAGCTCTCATATTTACGCACTGATCATTTTTTTTTCTTTTTCTTTCTTTTTCTCTCTCTCTTTCAGTTTTCACTCCCTGCAAACCCTAATTTATTGCACGCGGTTTTCTGAGGGAGGGAGAGAGGGAGAGAGAGAGAGAGCTAATTGGCTGACTTTGGAGGAGGACCCAATTGTGTAAATGATCCTAGCTGTCCTCATTTGACTCCTTTCAGTCCCTCCCCCTAAAACTGATCGAGTTGGGTCAGCGGGTCCTCCGTGTATATATAACGAGTGGAAGCAAGAGCCCTTGGACCCTTGTCTGTGCCCTTCCCTTCTCAGTAGGAGTTCAGGATTAAGATTAAGGAGGAGGGGAGAGCAACAAGAAATTAACCCCAGAAGAGAAAGGAAAAGGAGATAAGAGAAAGGAATTACATGCGTTAAGGGGTACTGGGTGGGTTGCTAATTGCAAAGTTGGAGACAGATCGATGGGGAGGCCTCCTTGTTGTGACAAGGTAGGAGTGAAGAAAGGGCCATGGACTCCTGAAGAAGATATAATCTTGGTTTCCTACATCCAAGAACATGGCCCTGGCAATTGGAGGGCTGTCCCTATTAGCACTGGTCAGTATATATCTATACTAGCTAAACTTTTCTATAATTAATACGTACTAGCCAGTTGATCTTTTTCCTCAAAGTTTTAGTTCAAGTGATGTACCATCTAGCTAGTTTAATTCATTTCATATTGTTTTTGGGGTTTGGATCTAAGCATACATGCATACTAGCTTCCGTTTTCGAGTTAGATCCAGGCTCCGTTTTGATCTAAAATACTATTTAGACCGACCATCCTCCGTACGTCTTGTTTTTATATTCATGAAAATTAGTTTCCAATTTGTTGTGTATTTCTATTTTGCGATTCTAGATCAAAGGGATGATAAATTAATTAAGAGGGTTGTTTTATTTTTATTTCTCCGCAGAAGATATGTTTTCAAATCATTGATTAGGGCTCTCTTTTGAACTAGTTTACTAATCAGTTGTTCCTGATCTTGAGTTACTAAATGTCTGCCAGTAGACTGTCAAATTTAAGAACCTCATCATGCATCTATACATAGAGAATCTATAAAAGACTACTGCAACTTCTATAAGATCCAAAATTGTTTTTAATTTAATGTCTGAAACAAGTTTCTGTAATTTTTCTTGCTCAGGGTTAATGAGATGTAGCAAGAGCTGCAGACTGAGATGGACAAACTACCTTAGGCCAGGAATCAAGAGGGGAAGCTTCACAGAACAAGAGGAAAAGCTCATCATCCATCTCCAAGCCCTTTTTGGCAATAGGTAAGTTGTTAATTAAACAGTACTAAGCATTCTCTAATTCACTACTAAAAACATATATACATATATAAACCCCCTCATCAGGACTAAATTATATATCTACGAGTTAAAATTTGTTGTGTGCAGATGGGCAGCAATAGCTTCATACCTCCCAGAAAGGACTGACAATGACATCAAGAACTATTGGAACACTCACCTCAAGAAGAAGCTGAAGAAGCTTGAGAATGGCAATGGCAACTCAACAATCCCCAAAGGCCAATGGGAGAGGAGGCTTCAAACTGACATCCAAACGGCAAAGCAAGCTCTTTGTGATGCTTTATCCATTGAAAGGGAGCCTGAAGCTTTAACCAAACCCAAACCCATTCATGTTAAGAACTCAGCAGCCTCATCATCATCAGCAACGTCCACAACGACAACCACCTACGCGTCGAGCACCGAGAACATTTCCAGATTGCTTGAGAATTGGATGAAGACTAGTCCATCGGCAAAGATCAACAATGGTTCAAACAGTGCCAATTCTGGTTCCAGCACTCAGCAGTCAGTGGCCTGTTTTGATTCCGCAACACCCGAGGCTTGAGCCAGTACCAAGAAGAGAGCAAGGAGCAGGGGAAGATGCCTTTGGAGTTGCTTGAGACTTGGCTGTTTGATGAGAAGGGGGACTTGGTTAATTTGGAGTTGGATGATTTTTAGGCAGATCGAGTTAAAAATATGATCGGTGACTTGCTTTAGATTTGTTGTTGGTCTGAGCTTTTTCAACTGGTCCAAGGACAGAAATTAAGAAACTGTAAATTACGAAAATATCTATTTTTAGATAGGATGATGATTCAGAAGTTGTTTTGTAATGGGGGGAAGAATAACATTTGTAAGGTTTTAATTTGAATGATCTGAAGATTTCTATTTTACATTCTTTGGTTAAGTGGGGTCTGTAGTTTGTGACTTTGGTTGGTGTCAGATACAGGAGATGATGATTAGGGTTTTTTAGATCCATGCATGTAGTCCTGAAATGGTGTTCAACGTATCAAAAGATCCTGCTGTTTGTAGTTTTCTGAAAATATTTGTTATCCAGTACTGTATTTTCTTTGTACATAATTATCTGGATTACCTAGGAAAAAAAACTTTTTTGGTTAAAGCCGTTGTAACATAATAGTGAAATTTCTAGTTATATATACAAATATTACATTAAGTATCAATATACCCATGACAGCCTACTATATTGTCTGGTAAAAAAGTTGAATTTTGAAGTAGAAGAGGGAGAGAGAATGATGCTGCTGAGACTTGACAGAAGCTTGGATATTTTTAGAGGGTTCTCAATAAAATGTATAATGCAGAAACAAGTTAACATAAGCGAAATTTTCAAGCGAAAGAGTTGCTGCTTTTGATCTTACCATTCACAACTGTATTTATTTAAAATACACTATCCGCTCGAAGTTAAAATTGAAACAAAATGTATGTTCCAACATTATTGAATTTTACAGAGAAGAGATTCTCTAATTATCCAAAAAAATATTTTTTGAGATTTTTAATTATTTTTTGGGAAAATTGCTTCAAGGCCCCAAAACTAAATTGGTGATGTGTTCCAGCCCCTTGAACTTTTTCTAATGTGCTTTTTCCCTAAAAATAAAAAATCCATATGAATCAGCCCCATTTACAATTTCCAAGACAAAAACTTTCCAAACTACCCTCTTCTTCTTCTCCAGATCTTCTCTAGATCTACTCCTCTTCCTACAAACCCATCTCCTCTTCCACCCTCTCTCTAACCTCACTCGAAACCTCCAACACCGCCACTACCTCCGTCACCCCTGTCTCTACCTCGCAAGGGGGTTCTGCAAGAACGACAACAGGTACAGGTTCCTCCACGACCTCAACGAGGACAAGCTCGACGCCGCCATAATGGCCTCGCCACCACCACCGCCGCCAGGTTTCCGTACCCCCTCGGGCAGCTTGCCGATGTCCCCGTTGTCGCCCATGAACCAGAGGTAGGTGAACGGCGGCTGGCCGAGTTCTTTTTTTAGGCTTTCGACGGTGGGTTCCGTGGATTTTGATGACTCGTTTTGATTTCAGGGCGGCTGTGACGACGTTAGGGGTTAAAACTGATTTGGGTTCTTGTTATTTTCTATAGTATTTATGGGCCAGTTCAAGATGTGAGGATCCCCTAATCTCAACATGTTGGGGCTTGGATGTATATCAAAATCAAGAAAGAAGTAATAAACTCAAGGTGTGGTATATATAAATGTTGTACAAATTTATGATGGTGATTTCTTGTGTCTGCTGTTGTTTGTTGTCATGTAAGCTCCAGTTGAACTGAGAAGGAGTTTGATGTTGTTCTCTGTGCAGTTAACTGTTGTGGTTAGCATGTTAACTCTTGTGTTTAACATGTTAACTCTTGTGGATAACATGTTAACTCTTATAGATAACATGTTAACTCTTGTGACTATATGTTAACTCTTGTGACAAACATGTTAACTATTGTGTATAACATGTTAACTCTTGTGACAAACATGAATTATAATTAACAGACAGTTTATGAATAACAATGAACAGATAATTCATTATAGTTAACAATTTATAAATAACAGTTAACAAATAATAATTAATAGTTAACAAATTATAAATAACAGTTAACATATAATTGATTATAGTTAACAGTTATATTTATCAATTTACCAATTAAGGTTAACATGCTAGGTATTATAGTTAACATGTTAAATGAGAACTATATTAACGTGTATATGACCCGAAATAACAGTTAACGGATAATAGATTACAAATAACAATTAACGGATAATGGATTATAGTTAAAAGTTTACTGAATATAATTATCAATTTACCAATTAAAGTTAACTGAAATAACAGTTAACTTTAATTGGTAAATTGATCCATTATCCGTTAACATGTTATCCACAATATTTAACATGTTATCCACAAGAGTTAACATGTTAAACACAAGAGTTAACATGCTAAATATTGTGGTTAAAATATTAACTATATGAACTATTAATTATTATTTGTTAACGGTTATTTATAATTTATTAACTATTAATTATTATTTGTTAACTGTTATTTATAAACTATTAACTATAATGAATTATCTGTTAACTATTATTCATAAACTGTCTGTTAACTATATTCATGTTTGTCACAAGAGTTAACATGTTATCCACAATAGTTAACATGTTTGCCACAAGAGTTAACATATAGCCACAAGAGTTAACATGTTATCCATAAGAGTTAACATGTTATCCACAAGAGTTAACATGTTAAACACAAGAGTTAACATGCTAACCACAACAGTTAACTGCACAGAGAACAACATCAAACTCCTTCTCAATTCAACTGGAGCTTACATGACAACAAACAACAGCAGACACAAGAAATCACAATCACAAATTTGTACAACATTTATATATACCACACCCTGAGTTTATTACTTCTTTCTTGATTTTGATATACATCAAAACGAGTCATCAAAACGAGTCATCAAAATCCACGGAACCCACCGTCGCAGACACCGCCGTCGCAGCCGCCCTGAAATCAAAACGAGTCATCAAAGTCCACGGAACCCACCGTCGAAAGCCTAAGAAAAGAACTCGATGAATTATCTGTTCACTGTTATTCATAAACTGTCTGTTAACTATAATTCATGTTTGTCACAAGAGTTAACATGTTATACACAATAGTTAACATGTTTGCCACAAGAGTTAACATATAGCCACAAGAGTTAACATGTTATCCATAAGAGTTAACATGTTATCCACAAGAGTTGACGTATTATTCATAAAAGTTAACATGTTATCCACAAGAGTTAACATGTTAAACACAAGAGTTAACATGCTAACCACAACAGTTAACTGCACAGAGAACAACATCAAACTCCTTCACAGTTTAACTGAAGCTTACATGACAATAAACAACATCAAACTCCGGTCGATCCTCGATTGGCCCATGAACCTGCTCTCATCTCCGGCGAGCATCAGCTCCGTCGTCGCAGCCGCCCTGAAATCAAAACGAGTCATCAAAATCCACGGAACCCACCGTCGCAGACACCGCCGTCGCAGCCGCCCTGAAATCAAAACGAGTCATCAAAATCCACGGAACCCACCGTCGCAGACACCGCCGTCGCAGCCGCCCTGAAATCAAAACGAGTCATCAAAATCCACGGAACCCACCGTCGCAGACACCGCCGTCGCAGCCGCCCTGAAATCAAAACGAGTCATCAAAATCCACGGAACCCACCGTCGAAAGCCTAAAAAAAGAACTCGGCCAGCCGCCGTTCACCTACCTCTGGTTCATGGGCGACAACGGGGACATCGGCAAGCTGCCCGAGGGGGTACGGAAACCTGGCGACGGTGGCGGCGGCGAGGCCATTATGGCGGCGTCGAGCTTGTCCTCGTTGAGGTCGTGGAGGAACCTGCACCTGTTGCCGTTCTTGCAGAACCCCCTAGCGAGGTAGAGACAGGGGTGACGGAGGTAGCGGCGGTGTTGGAGGTTTCGAGTGAGGTTAGAGAGAGGGTGGAAGAGGAGATGGGTTTGTAGGAAGAGGAGTAGATCTAGAGAAGATATGGAGAAGAAGAAGAGGGTAGTTTGGAAAGTTTTTGTCTTGGAAATTGTAAATGGGGCTGATTCACATGGATTTTTTATTTTTGGAGAAAAAGCACATTAGAAAAAGTTCAAGGGGCTGGGACACATCACCAATTTAGTTTTGGGGCCTTGAAGTAATTTTTCCTTATTTAATTGGTATTATCTCATACTACTCTGGTTTGAGACTCCAGCTTAAGTCAACCACAGTTAAAGATGACACTGAAGTCATAATCAGGTCCAGGCAGTTGATTAGGCCAAAGATGGAGACCACCATCTGACCCGTACAGTTCGGGCCCCACACCTGAGAGCCATTGGATGTCGATTTCTGACCCACTCCCACTCCTAGCTTGGAGGCTTTCCCATTAGAGCGTAGCACATGTATAAGAGTCATATTTTAATAACATATCAAAACTATATATGTAATATCTGACACTGAGCTCCATTAATATATATATTTCCTAATACTACTTATTACTTTTAATTTAAAAAAGCATAACATCAATTTCACTGTTTATGCTCAGCATAACTATTCATGCTACACTATGATAGAGAATATTAAATCTGCTGCTTACGCTACAGTATTTTTAGATCTACTGTTCAAGGGAACTCAATTTTCCACGGCCACTGTTCATAATACGGTGTAATATTTGAAACTGGCACGTCTATCCCTTTTCTCCTACTCTGTATAATTGGGAGAACCCAATATTCTCTATTCATACTACAATAATATTTACTGTAGCATTATGATAATGGGTACTGTGGTTTTTGAAAAAAATATTGTATTTCTTCGACTGCTAGTTTTCGACAAATTCTTGGAACAAAGTAATGGATTGACTATGCTTCAATTGGAAATCATGCAATTGGGAACAAATTACCAGCTGGTTCGGGAACAATTTGAGAGGGAAAAGCTTCAAAAAAAAGCTTAAAAGATTGGCTTTATCTACTTCAGTCTATATGATTTGACAAGAGAGGAACTTTCGAATTTTTCAATTAACAAACAATCAAGGGACTACGATCATCTTTTTAGCTTGATAAAGTTACATGTATATATATACAAGGATATTGAATGATAATATACCACACCATATAAAAAGTTATGTAGAGAATTGTTACTTTTGAAGACTAGGTTCTATAACCAGTCTTGAGAAAAAATTTGATGTATTATAACTTCCATATATTGGTAATGAATAAAATTTTTATTGACCAAAAAAAATATTGTATCACACGGGAATACTGTAGCAGATGCGGGATACCGTAGTAATTCAAAAGTTTAAAAAATTACTTTAGCAGCTAAAACCGGAATTACTGTAGCGGGGAAAAAATATGTCATGTTTTACA